AAAATAATAGCGTTCTCAAAATATCGAAAAGTTCGCAAGGAAGCCAAGAAGCTGGTTAATAACAAATTTACTGTAACAGGTGGTCTAAATGATCAGTTGGCATGTGTTGCATTAAATTTTCTACAATAATTCTGGTTTTGTATTTCGGTAGTGTAATTAATTCTCGGTTGCATTGAGCCGAGGAATAGGGCCAAAGTAAAAGTGTAGTTAAGCAATGGGGACTTCCTATTTGAGAGTAATTGGACCCGCTCCAAAAGGTGGGTCAACACACCTTCGGGGAATGCAAAAATATTTTTCCTGTCCCCTACGCCATCTCAACAATGGGGTCTCCTGTCTAGAGCTGTCTGTTGATATATCCTTGAGTTCGCCATGATGTCTTCCTCGAGTGTTTCAGTTGTGTAATTTCCGTTTTGAATGTAAAGAGCCTAATGATGCAAGAAACAATAGAATTTTAGAAGATTATAACCGGATGAAAACGAAACAAACATAAATTTCATAATTCCTATTTCCACTAAGACGGCCCAAACAAAAGATGTCTGAAATTTAGTTATTCACGTGAAGTGCCAAAAGATCAAAGGGCCTCTTCAACCTAATTGATTTCGAAAAAAAAAATACACGAAAAATGAATATTATGAACATTTTAACAAGAAATAGAAAAATAGAAGTCACGGATTAAGGAAATCATGATTTTGAGCAACTTACATTAAAAAATTAAAACAATATTATAAATACTACTTACAAGACGTCTAAAAGAAAAGATTAAAAAGTATACATGGAGAATAAGTATGTTTGTATTCGGATCATTTATTGCGATAATCAGAAACAGCATTGTCAAGTCAATCCTAAAATATTTTTAATAATGACAGGAAAAGTATCAGATCCCAAGCTTGGAAGAAATCCAAAAAAAAAAAAAAAAAAAAAAAACTACACCTATGATACGTATAACATGTTGTTAATTATGATTAAGCGAAATCAGAAAAAATCATTAATGTTGACGTTCTTCGGAAGTAACAATTGTATTTATATAAATATGAATATAAATTACACACACACCAACCAATCAAAAGTTAAATTTTAAGTTGTACCAGTCTTCTTTCATGCTTACGTACCTGTAATTGATTTTATTAAAACTTTTTATTATTCATAAATATTATTTTTAATTTTAAAGATACCAGACTGTATTAATACTAAAAAATATAATCATAGGAACTTATAATAGATAGCAAAGATAAAGCATGATTCCCTTGATTACTTCTTGGATAATTATTGTTTTCATTAATTCCATATTAAATCTTTTACCAAACATCTTTAGTATTTTTTTTTCATGTCGAACTAAACTTAGCTTTTCCATATTAATTAATTTTAAGTGTAATGAAATTACAATACAATGTCGGTTATTCATTTCATCTTTCTCTTTGTTTAATAAAATTAAAAAAACAAAAAAAAACATTTCAGCTAGAAAACATTCATCTTTTTCTAAACGAATTAGAGGGATCGCCTGAACGAATTACGCGGATAGTAGAGGAAAATATAAATTGGTCAAAGATAGATGAACATGATCCGCTGATTTAATACACTGGCGAGGCCTAGAAGGCCACTTTGAATGTGTGCTTTTTATTCACCCCACCCCCCTTCTCCGCAGACCTCCCCCCCTTAGCCATGTGATTGATGTAGCAGCGCCGAGAATGTCCCGCGATACCTCAGCTGAAAAATGATCCTGACACAACCTTCAACCCATAAAATTTACATTCCGCTTTTTATTATCCCCCTCTCGAATAGGAAAAACGAAATTGGCCGCTTGAATATTCCGAAAATCTACGGTTTCAGTTTCCTCGAAATGGTGTGAAGTTTCAAATTCTTATTGGGTAATCGGGAGAGACGATAAACAAGGCGGTTGGTATTATAATCTCGAGTTATAACCTCGACGGGAGCCAGACAGCATCGGATGCTAGAGTGGATACCATAATAAGCCTTCTTGTCTGGGGCCACCGCAAAGTATAATTGATATCTCAGTTTGCATAATTGGTGAAATTATAGCCTGTAACGCGTATAATAACCAAACACATAAAAATTACTCCGGATGAATTTTCGTCACCTTCCTGCTTTAATCTAGACAAAAATTGATAGTTAAAAGCTTTTAAATATTGAACTTTTTCAACTTCTTTTCAATTTTAACAATTTATAAAACCTCATTGTTATCAAAATCAAAGTAATAGAAGATCTTGAATATTTTGAAAGGCATAACCAATATTATCGAGAGATCTCTTCAAACCTTTCCCTTGGAAAGAGCTAGTAATTTTCTCATTTGATTACCTCTTTATGGCCCACTATATATAAAATTCTTCATTTTTGAACTTCAACGTTTATACCATTGAAAAATTACATAATGTACTTATTATTGCAAGAAAAGCAGGAAAAAGATCCATTTTTATCTCTGAAGTCTGAGATTTTATATTTCAATATATCTGAACTCAAGTAGGTCCACAGGTATAATATATACAGGTATATATTATACCTGTGGACCTACTCGGGTTCAAAGATAGTGAAATATAGACGTAGATCCACGGATTAAAGCTGCTCAAGGTCAGAAGGCGTATGAGAACTTATATTTCTTTTTCTGATCATGTATGTGAATGTAAAATAGTGATGTAGATAATATTTGTCCAGATGAGTGATAAATATACTGGAGAGTTTAGCGCAAGGCAGAATATGCACACAGTAAACAAAATTGGAATAATAGAATTTCGGCAGTGGAAACAGGAGTGTAAAATGTTGGGTTAGAAATCTCTAAAATAGTATATGCTTTGAATTGATTGGCATAAGTTTAGGAATGAGAAGTACATGGAGGATTTCAAATTTAGTGAGGGGATTAGTCGAGGTGGTATAGAGGCGATGATTATAGCAGGTATAGACTTCGAATCTTGAGTGTCGCTAAGCCTCGTTATTGTTATAGGAACAAAACTGGATCCTGTATGTAATTGTAGAAGAGAAAAAGTTATGAAGTTCCAGGCTGAAAAACCCCTGTGTTGATAGTAAAGAGATAACATAGAATTTAAACTCTGGATGTGATATGTTTTAAAAAGAAACATACAATGTATTCACAATGTATCACGATGAGTATTCCCGAGAAGGAATAGGATGAGGCTTGGCCAAGTGAGAAACAATGTAACGTTTGTTCCAGAGCGGATTGGGTTTCGGAGATTGAGATCAGTGTTTTAGCGGAGAATGTGGCGGGCTATTGTGTATCTGGTCTGGTCGGCACTCAACCTCCTCGCAACTCCTGGAATTCCTATAACCGAGGATTCTCCGCCGATCCAGGGAACAGGGGTATACTCCGCTCTCCATCCAGAGTCCCCGTTTCGGACAATGAACGTCCACAATGCCCTCCACATAAAAGTATCCTTTATAAAGGCAGTCTTGGAAAGAGAGAGTAAAAAAAAAAAAAGCAATGGCAGTTTCCGAAAAGAATTTTCAAAACGATAACAGGCTACGAAATTGGCGTTGTTTCCACCTAAAAAGGATAACAATACTTGTAAAAATGATAGAACTGATAGGAATCAACATGGTATTAATTCAGATGAATTGCCTTTTTATCTAAGCACAATATGCGCTGACTATTTTTCAGCACTTTAGCCAGTAGCCAAATTCCCACGCCCGCTTTGCCCATCAAAATTCATTGTTCACATTTAGTACAAATTAAAATTTGAAAACCTGTTTGATATAATTTAGAGTTTTTTGTTCGATAACCGGAATATCTTGAATATATTAAGGGTCAAAGTCAGAACAATTGATAGTATCTACGGATCTATTCTATAAGATACCGCTTATTAATTAGAAGATTATTAATCTTTTTGTTTTTGTTGTGCTTAAAACGCTTTGCTTGAGAGCATTTTTCAATTTTGATTCCAGTCTAAATAAATTGAACTACAAGTTTTCTAACGACTATTAATCTTCAAACATTTAACAGAACCGAGTTGTGTGTTTTTTCAGATGGAATAATGGGAATGTTAAAGTGTTGTACTTTAAATAATTAATCTGTTTTTCTCATACATATGAAATATATAGACAATTATTTGGAGTATAAAAAACATAGATAAGCCTACTATATTAATATTTAAAAATAAAAATCCGAGGCGTCTGAAAAGAAGATGGCCCCGTGATCTCCTAATGTAGTCATATCATTAGAGTGCTACCATTGGGTAGTTACTCAGCAAGTGTATTCATGTCATTATATATATTATGTACAAATTTACTAGATGTATTTATGTAATACAGTTGTAAATGTCATTAAGAAATAAAAAAATAAATAAATAAAAATAACGACTAATAAATAATAACATTTTGAAAACTAGTATAACGAATAGAGTTTCACAAAGAGCAATAATTAAGCCAGAAAGGTCCATTTATAATCATCTGAGGTAAAATCCAAAAATACAAATAAAAACTATATATAAATATTAGAACGATGAATTTGAGTTATTTTAACTCGGAGATTTTATTCATCTGATAAATCTTAGAGGAAAGGAAGGAATTTCCAACGATTTTCAATCTTGGCACATAAAAATGCGTGAGGTCTAAGTCCAGCAATAGAACTGGGAATAAATAAACTAACCTTGTTTAAAAAAAGGAGGACGATAAAATACATCCATTCTATTTTTACGAGTAAAGTAAGTTTACTTTGTGTTTAAAAATAATCCTTTTTATCTTTTTAATAATTCCTCTCAAATGTATTCAAGAGGACGAGTAAGTAGATACTCTATATATTACAATAGTAAATAACTATAACATATATCTTTTGTGAAGGTACTTTTGTATATATAACATATATCGTTTGTGTATATTATAAATCTTGACTACTGAACGTAGACACAAAATTATAAATAGCATTAAAGAAAAAAAAATAAACTAAGTAAACATGTAATAATATATATATATATATATATATATATATATTTATCTTAACAAAGTAGTTTTTTTTCATCCTCATACGAGTGTTCATTATGTTCACCACCACTCGCAGCACAGACCAAGTGGATAGGAGAATGGTTTCCAAATGCTTAACGGCATATCAATTAAGGTCTAGATCACACACCTGTCATCCGCTGTTTAAGGTCATCAAGTGTAGGGGGAAGGGATGGAACATCAATATTGTCTTTGTTTCTACACTAGGACTAAGGCCGGGAGATCTTATAGAACATGCGAATAGAGCAAGATCCAGTCATCTAGCGACCAATCCAACTACCGACTAGGCACAGTATAATAAAAAAACTATTGCAAGTAAAGGTTCTTGACATTTTGAGATAGCTATATCCTGTGCGAGTGTATTTTTGAAAGAAGAAATGACCATGATCTCTACACAAAGTTGCTCTAAACAAAGTGAAAAATACGCTGTTTTTAATGGCATGCGACTCGAGTGATGGGAAATAAAGTTTCGAAATAGGTTCATTCGCTTTAAATCGTATAGTAAATCAAGAAGGAGGTGTTTATGTCAGGAGTAAATGCCTATAATATTATTAACTGTGAAGAATTACAATTATATATACATTATTGTTGACCAATAATGTATAAAAAAAACAGTATTACACAAACCATAAAGGTCTTGGGTTCAGTACTTTGTAGGAAGCACTGTTTCAAGGCCAACAGTTGTGCAAGGAGGTAATCGGGTCGGGATCAAGTACAACTGTCAAATTTTCATCCTTAATTAATTATTTAATTAAGAGGACCCACTTTATAGAAGCTGGTTGTGCTCCAATAGTGTCTCCAATCATAGAGTCAATCCACGACTGATAAAACAATAAATAATTACCTGCCACAACCCGGATTCGAACACTGCCTCAGGAAGATATTGCCTTACCCAGCGAGCTTCTTTTATATTAAATATTTGTACTTGAAATATTTATAATTTGTATCTTCCAAGTTCTTTTTTCGTTATGAATTCATTTTGACCGACCCCCAGACATCATTTCAAAGTAATATATTCAGGATAAAGGAAGAATCTTGGGCACCTATTGTTCTTAGAAGTTTGTCTCTTCGTCAAGCATATAACTTATATATTTTTTTTAAAGCAGGATACAACCACGGATGCCGAGACGGAATATAAAATTGAATTATGAAAGACTTGGGCTAGGAAGCCGGGGGACGTGGTCGCTATTTCTGTTGAACGGTATATCTCCCACCACCGCTGCACTGCCCAAATCCTCCGAGAGATCTGTCATCTATTTTAACCCACGACGCGGCTGACACCGTTTCAAAACGGCTCTTCCATTTAATTCTACTCAGCATCTGTCTTCATCCTCTTCCTACCTCATCCCCTTCTTGGAACTGAGGTCTTTTTCCATTTTTATCGATTTATGACTCCAGGAATAGTTACTGTGTACACATAATACAACTCCCTCACGGAGGGTTCAATCCTTCTTCTTTCCCCGCCTTGGCATCTTGGATAGTGTTACTCCTAAAATTCTCTTGAGCTAAGCGATGGATCATTTTCTGGACACTTAAGGGGTCATAAATGACGAGGATATAAATTCTGGAGCCGACGACAAGGCCTTTAGGTTTAAACATGCCCGGAATCAAAGTTGCCCTGGCAGATTTATGATGATACATCACCTAAGAAAGTGCTTCTTACCCCGCATTTCAAGACTCGAAGAACAGTCAAGGAAGTAAAAAGATATATATAGAAGCAAAACAATTGGTTCAGAATATGATAACATTTTACTAAAATTCATACTTGCACGATGCAAAATAAATAAATAAATAAAATTTAAAAAACAATCGTTAATAAGGTAAGTTCCCGCCCTCAAAATGGTAAAATATATTTTTTTTCATCTATCCATATTTGGTCAGTAAAGGATATGAACTAAATACTTAAACAATAATTACTCTTTATATATTAAATTATTACTATTCAATTGTTTCTGAAATTACTTTTTGTTTTTTTAACATGCCTTCAAGGTCTATCTACTTGTTCAGGGATCAACCCCTGAAACACAAAAAATAACAATTGTTCAATTCAGAACTTCAGCACCATTTTATGGCCACCATTTTGCTGAAAACCATTTCTCTAGAGTTAACCTGTTCATTTGGTGTAGTGTGCACACATTAAGTTACTATGTTAAGTAATGACAAGAAAAGAGAATATGAGTTGCTAAACTCTAAGAGAACAGCCTGGTGGAGGAAATATGGGGAGGAAGAAGAGGTGGCCTAAACCAAGAAGCTCAAATTCAGACAGAAAGTGAGTCCAAATTGACAATAAAGCAACTGTAATTAATCTGTAAAGAACCACACCATTGTAGAATGCAAAAATTTCATTTATTTTATTTTGTTTAATTTTATGCAATATAATCAGTTTCTCAAGATGTTGTTAAATTTAATCAACAAATTACCGTGATATAACATTACTTAAACGTCATTTTATATAGTCACTTATATTTTTTATTTCAGTGCAACAATTCTTAAAATAAAAAATGCCTCTTCAAAGTCCTGAATCCCCAAGAATTTGGAAGAAATATATTTTATTTTGGCAAGGAAGTTTATTAGTTGAATTTGAGGTAAGTTTTTAAAATATAAAAATAACAAATATACATCGTAACTTTGCATAACGGTAGATCTATATTTCAAAATCGACATGCTATGAATAACATAACATAAGTACCAGCCTGTTATAAATATAACCTTTATATAACACATATAAATTATATTACCGTGATATAAACATTACACATTATATGATTATTTCGATTTAATATTTTTTGTTATAAAATAATATGAACTATTTTGTTAGATTTTATTATATTAGAGGGATTGGAATGTTGCCCATGAGGAAGGATTAAATTGTCAATAAGCTAAATCAGTATACTTTTATTTTATTTATATTATTTTTATTTTTTTAAGCAACATAATGATATGATCTCTAAACCAAAGGATTTAGTCATTGTAGTTTTTTTTTTTTTTTCACATCATGAAAGCTGAACTAATAAAACAAAGAACGAAAATTCCTCTCGGTTTTTAGAAGCTCCAGAAATAGACAATTTATTTAGCTGCAACTTCAAACTTGAGAAGAAAACAAACTCTAAAAATAGCCCAGTCTTGACGAATGGTTTCCATGACAGAAGTGGCTAGACGTCACACAGATCACTGCACTTCATACCCCAATGATCTTCTCTATTGTACCGTTATACCGCTGAGCATCAAGAAATTTGATCTTTTGTATTTGTTTTGTATAAGTATGTCGAGAAGAAAAAAATAATGAAATGTGATTTTTATAATTCTTTATTCTTTTATCTTATTAATTCGAATTGACGAATACAAGCAAACGTTCTAAATATTTATAAAAAAAATAGAAGATAACAAACGAAAATTGTATGAAATCCATAAGCTATTCTTACACCATAATAGTTTCCAAGTGCTTTATGTAACATATGTTTAGACATTAACAACAATTATGAAACTAACTTATTAAAGATTTTACATCAAAATGTGTAAAATGAGAGGAATGCCAACTTTTGAAGTTTTTTTTTTTTTTAGTTTCTTTATTTTATTTTTTTAAGTTAAGCACATTACCTATACATTAATTAAAATAGACATTGCATGCACGATAAATTTGAAAATTTACTAAAAATATTTTTGTCTTTTATTATTTTAAATAATAATCATTGAAAAAATAAAAGTAATTGTTCAGAAAAGTTTCAAACAAAACCCAATTGAAGCAATGAATGACGATCTGTCTGGCTCAAGACCTTGAATGTAATTCACTTCTCTTCGGAACATATTTTCATCGACAAACTAAATATAAAAAGTAGTAAGTAATACACCAATTGTAATTTATAAAATTGGTATTAAATTTTAAAAAAAATAATAAAATGATCTTTACGAGCTATAAAAAGAGAAGTTCTGAATAGAACGAGTTCACACCAAACTAAAAAAAAATCCGGTTTCGTACTATATTTTGCTAGTACTTCAACTATGACAATATCATGTCAACGAAACAATGCATACATTTTCGACTTAGCGTCACGAAACTAAAAATATTAGAAATTTATTTTTCCTCTTTCTTCCCCTTCATAAAATAGAAAGTAGAAATTTATCACATCGACGTTTATCAATGCTATGACAGGAAAAAACACTGATAATTAAATAATATAATCCTGTTAAAATCCTAAAGTAATTTCTTTTCAATTTAAGTGATAAATTAAACAATTTGTTTAAAATACGAGAGTATTTTTAAAATGCCAAAATGAACAGAGAATAGAGATAATAACATAATAAAATTAATTAAATAAAAAAATCAAAACTTTTTTTAGAAATAATAAAAAAGTTTACTTAAATGATTGGTCAAAGGTACATCACAATTTTCAATTAAAAAGAAACGTTGACACATAAAAATGAAGAAAAGTAGATTTCAAAAAATTAAATTAAATGAACAATCAATAATTTAAAAAAAAGTGTAAAACAGGAAAAATTAGAAAATTTAAATGTGCAGAATACAATGGATACATGCTTGTATACATAATCACGTTTGTATTTCTGTACAAATATCAAAAATATAAACATATACAACTGAATGAATATAGGTGAATAGAGTGTTTCATAATTTAGGTACTTTTTAAATTTATACATTTATAAGGAATTATTTTAATTGCATAGGTATTGAAAATAAAATAAATTAATTACAAATTTGTACAATACAAGTACAGCTTGAATTTTCTGGGCTGAAATAATAATACAATTAACCTTAAAAATTATTTTCTCGCTGGATTCGGCGAAACACTCAAACATTGACATAGGCGGTACCTATTTTCAATAGATTTCACAGAAAACAATTAAAATTTAAAATAATTTAAAAAAGTTAATTACATTGAGATAAGATGTAATCACATGATAAAATATTAAAACTATCTTTGATAACATATTAGGAAAGAAAAAGCTGTTTAGAAAATGGTAAAACCCAACCGCAGAGTTAGAATGGAGGATGTAATTCATAGTTAACGTCAAATGAGTTTATTATTACAACATATAATCGTAACTAATTACTTAATTAAATATAATTTCTTTGTAGTGGCATAAAAATCAATTCACAGTGTTTAATTATAATGTCCAAGTGATGATTGATCACATTCATATATAAAAATATAAGAATAATTACAGAATTTAATGTATAAAATTCGCTAGAAGTTCTTATTGGGGATAAATGTCGAGTAGAACATTTGAAAACCTTGGGAATCACTTTTAACATTCTCAACAAAAGTTCTAT